CAAAACTGCTCCAGGAACCCCAAAACTCCCCCCAAACCCCCCCAGAGTTGCTCCCCCTCTCCCCCCCCGCGCTCCCCCAGCCCCATTTCGGCTCCTCAGGACACCCCAAAGTTCCCATCGACTTTATTGGCACCGGGAGGGGTCGGGACCCCCAAACCTCCAGAACTGACCCCAAACCTCCAGAACTGACCCCAAACCCCCAGAACTGACCCCAAACCCCCCAGAACTGACCCCAAACCCCCCCAAACCCGGCCCGGGGGGAGGGGACAGGTCAGGACCCCCCCCCCATTGTCCAAGGGTCACTCCAGGGTCACTCTGGGGTCACTCGGGGTCACTCAGGGTCACTCCAGTGTCACTTGGGGGTCACCAGGGGTCAGTGCGGGGTCACTCCGGTGTCACTCGGTGCCACTCAGGTCACTGGAGGTCACTGGGGGTCACTCAGGGTCACTCCGGTGTCTCTCGGTGTCACTCAGGGTCACCTGGGGGTCACCAGGGGTCAGTCTGGGGTCACTCCGGTGTCGCTCAGGGTCACCAGGGGTCAGTCCAGGGTCACTCTGGTGTCTCTCGGTGTCACTTGGGTCACTCCGGTGTCACTCCGGTGTCACTCGGGTCACTGGAGGTCACTGGGGGTCACTCAGGGTCACTCCGGTGTCTCTCGGTGTCACTCAGGGTCACTCCGGTGTCACTTGGGGGTCAGTCCGGGGTCACTTTGGTGTCACTCTACGGTCACTCAGGGTCACTGCAGGGTCACTTGGGATGACTTGGTGTCACTCCGGTGTCACTCCAGTGTCTCCTGGTGTCACTCAGGGTCACTCTGGTGTCACTCGGGTCACTGGGGGTCACTCCGGGGTCACTCTTGGGTCACTCCGGCGTCACTCGGTGTCACTCCAGGGTCACTCGGGGCTCACTGGGGGGTCAGTCCGGGGTCAGTCCGGGGTCTCTGGTGTCACTGGGGGTCACTCAGGGTCACTCCAGGGTCACTGGGGGTCACTCCGGGGTCACTCTTGGGTCACTCCGGCGTCACTCGGTGTCACTCTGGGGTCACTCGGGGCTCACTGGGGGGTCAGTCCGGGGTCAGTCCGGGGTCTCTTGGTGTCACTCAGGGTCACTCAGGGTCACTCCGGGGTCACTGGGGGTCACCGGGGGTCACTCTGGGGTCTCTTGGTGTCACTCGGTGTCACCGGGGCTCAGTCCAGGGTCACTCAGTGTCACCCCGGGGTTACTCTGGTGTCTCTCGGTGTCACTGGGTGTCACTGGGTGTCACCGGGCTCAGTCCAGGGTCACTCTGGTGTCACTCGGTGTCACTGGGTGTCACTGGGTGTCACTGGGTGTCACTGGGGCTCAGTCCAGGGTCACTCAGGGTCACTCCGGTGTCACTCTGGTGTCACTCGGTGTCACTGGGTGTCACCGGGCTCAGTCCAGGGTCACTCTGGTGTCACTCGGTGTCACTGGGTGTCACTGGGTGTCACCGGGCTCACTCCGGTGTCACTCTGGTGTCTCTCGGTGTCTCTCGGTGTCACTGGGTGTCACTGGGTGTCACTGGGTGTCACCGGGCTCAGTCCGGGGGGCACAGGCGCGCCCCGATGTCGTCCAGCAGCCAGTCCAGGCCGGGCAGGAGGTCGCGGCCAGTGAAGGCCGAGCAGCCCTGGATGCGCCAGCGGTGGCTGCGGATGGAGTCCAGCTCCAGGGCCTGGGGACACGGCCGGGGGTCACCCCTGGGGGTCCCGGATTGGGGGTACCCCGGCCTGGGGACCCCTGAACTGGGGAGGGTCCCAGGATTTGGGGGGTCCCTGAGTTTGAGGGGTCCCCGAAGGTTTGAGGGGGTCCCAGGATTTGGGGGGTCCCTGAGTTTGAGGGGTCCCCGAAGGTTTGAGGGGGTCCCAGGGTTTGGGGGGGTCCCAGGATTTGGGGGGTCCCTGAGTTTGAGGGGTCCCCGAAGGTTTGAGGGGGTCCCAGGGTTTGGGGGG